AGGACTGTTCAAATCAGAGGCTTAGTGTGATTCAGATACCAGCTTCAGGGCTGTTCAAATCAGAGGCTTAGTGTGATTCAGATACCAGCTTCAGGGCTGTTCAAATCAGAGGCTTAGAGTGATTCAGATACCAACTTCAGGACTGTTTAAATCAGAGGCTTAGTGTGAATCTGATACCAGCTTCAGGGCTGTGTTAGCATGGGATCCTATGGGAAGCTGGAATACGGTGAAAACAGCTGATTCCTGTGTTTTCCTTTCCCAGGGAATCGTTTCCATTCGACCAGCAGTTCAACATCTTGATGAGGTTCATCGTGGACCAGACCCAGACGCCAAACCTCAAGGTGAGACGGTGGCGCCCGTCGGGAGCGGCTGCTGCTGCTTTCCTGTTGCTCTTGGATTCATTGACGTGTGGTCCGCAGGTGAAGGTGGCCATCCTGAAGTACATCGAGTCTCTGGCTCGGCAAATGGACCCCACAGACTTTGTGAACTCCAGCGAGACTCGGCTGGCGGTTTCCCGCATCATAACTTGGACCACTGAACCCAAAAGCTCTGATGTGAGGAAGGTGAGGATGACGTTAGCTGAGACGATTCATGTTCCGGCCTCAGGGTCGTTCCCAGCAGAGATGAGGTTCTGTTCTGGTTCTAACGCTCAGAACGTCGTAGAACAGCAGAGGTGGTTCTGCACCCAGAACCAGCTCCGGGTCAGAACCCCTGGCCTCCTGCTGTGGGCGGGGTTATCAGAAGCTTCCATGGTACCCCGCTGATGGTACGACCCATTTAGAGCGGCCCCCCTCCCCAACCGCTGCTGTCTCCGCTCCATGTTACGCGTTCTCCAGATGTGTGGTTCTGCTGCGGTTTGTGTTGCGGCCCGTAACCCGTTCTGCCTTAATGTGCCTTAGAGCCTCCACAGCTGGGTGAGCGAGGAGCTGGCCGGCTGGTCCGGCTCTGCGGCGCTGCTGTCCACCGAGGGCGGCCTGGAGGACAGGTGTAAGCAGGTAGAGCCCGCCCCATCGGCCAATCACAGCACGCCACGCCGCATGCCGGACTCTAACCACCGAGCTGCGGGGAAGCTGAGCTCAGCGCCTTGTTCTGACTGCGATAGCAGCACCTCACCACATGCAGGGAGCTCCTGAAGCTCCAGAGAAGCTGATGCTCCTCCAGAGGATCCATGGAGCTCACAGTCTGCCAAAGTTTTCACACCCTGCAGACTTTTTCACAGCTTTTAATCTGCTGGAATAAACTTTAAAGTTTTCTCAGGTTACCACAGTGAAGCATGGTGCAGGTAGCGTCATGCTGTGGGAGGCTGGCCAGAGACAATGGAGTTAAATCCAGAACCTCCTGCAGGAGAAGCAGAACCTCCACCCTTTCCTGGGTGTGGATGCTGGTCAGAGCTGTGGGCTTCACTGCTCCTCACATGGAGGCTCTTTGTTTACTGCTGTGTTCCTCCAACTAACAGGCTGCCAGCCAATCACACGCCTGCATGTCTGTGATGTCATTTCCTCTTGTCTCTGTGGTGGATCCTTTTTCTCCAACATTTCCTTGATCTTTAAAACGGATGGATGGATGGATGGATGGATGATGGATGGATGGATGGATGATGGATGGATGGATGGATGGATGGATGGATGGATGGATGGATGGATGATGATGATGATGATGATGATGATGATGATGATGATGATGATGATGAGGAGGAGGATGAATGGATAGATAGATAGACAGACAGACAGACAGATGGAGGGTAAATGTATTAAAGGTGCGTCAGCAGAAAAGAATCCAGACATTAATAAAGGATCACAGATCAGACTGATGATCAATGGATCACCGCGGCTCCTCGCTGTCTGGTTTCCTCTCTAACCCCACCTGCATGCTGTGGTTCTGGTCCCTGGGTCGGACCTTGAAGGGTCCAGTTCTTCTGCTTCTACCAGAACTTCTCCGCAGGCCCGGTTCTGACGCTGCAGAGACGGAAGCGTCTCTCCGGTCGCTCTGGACCGTTCTGACCCGTTCTGACGCTCTGTGTTCAGGCGGCCCAGGTGGTTCTGATCGCCCTGTTTGAGCTCAACACCCCGGAGTTCACCATGCTGCTGGGGGCGCTGCCCAAAACCTTCCAGGACGGCGCCACCAAGCTGCTGCACCACCACCTGAAGAACTCCAGCAACGTGGTGAGTCAGCCGCGCTGCTCCCGACCCGGTTCTGGTTCTGTTGGACTACCCTGTCTCTCTCTGTCTGCAGAGTTCTCCCAGTAACACGTTGGGTCGGACGGTACCGCGCCACACCCCCAGCAGAACCAGCCCCCTCACCTCTCCCACCAACTGTTCCCATGGAGGAGTCTCCCCCAGGTAGGCGGGCCGGGACAGAACCGGTTCTGATGAGCTGGCCTCCTGACTGAGCATGGCTGCGGACCCGGCTGCTGAGTCTCGCTGCAGGGTTGACGGTTCTGACCTGATGGCTCCTCTGGTTCTGAAGGTTTCAGGGTGCAATGCATCCCAGAACCTCCGGTTCTAAACGTTCTCCTGCAAACAGACCTCCAGGTTCTGCTGCTTTTGGACTTCTTCATGAGAACCTGGACCCACCTCCCCCTCAGCAGAACCTGGTGGATGTTCCTGGAGAACATCTGGTTCTGGAGGCGTCACAGGAGTCTGGGTTCAAACCCGGACCTTCAGACAGAACCTCTGAGGCCTGAGGAACTCTGCTGGGTGAAGGTTCTCAGTGAGCTTCTACCAGCAGGGGTTCTGGTTCTGGTTCTGAAGCTGCTTCCTGATGTTCTCCAGGTTCCTGGAATGGGTTCTGTTCTGCAGACGGAGGAACATCTTCAGAACCTCTTTGTTTCTCAGAACCTGGAAGAACCCTCCGTGGTTCCATGTTCAGATGTTCCTCAGAGATCCACCAACCAGAGAGCAGAACCTGTAGAACCTCAGTGATCAGAACCAGTTCTAACTGCGGTTCTGTTGTGTCCAAACTACGCTGCCTTTTGAACCCGTTGAATAGAAACGGGTCGGACAGAACCAGAGGTCCGCTCCGGCCCAGAAAGGCTCCAGAACCGTCGGCCCGGTTTCCCCAGCAGAACTCAGCAGCCGTCCTGTGCCCTAACTGGACCCGCCTCCTCAGACTGCTTTGTTTTTGTCTCCTCTCTCTGTCCGTCCTGCTGTCCGTCCCCCGCCGCCCCCCTCCCCCAGTGGGTCGTGGGGTTGGGGGATCGACGGTCCGTCCAAGCACCCCCCCGCCCCTCCCCCGTGCCTCAGAACGATGCGCAGAGCCTTTTCGCCCAGGTACCAGGAAGCCTCCGCTCAGGCCCGGTTCTGTTCTCCGTGGGTTCTGATGGACCCGGCGTGGCTCAGCATGCAGATTACTGTCTGAGCTTCGGAGCGGTTCCCTGATCCGGTTCTGCTCTGTTTGTCCAGCAGCATGACGGAGTACGACACAGAGAACATGAACGCTGAGGAGATCTACAGCTCGCTGCGCGGCGTCACCGAGGCCATCCAGAGCTTCAGCTACCGGAGCCAGGAGGACCTGAACGAGCCGCTGCCACGGGACGGCAAGCGGGACCACGCCGTGAGTGTCCGACCGTGGGAACCTGTTAATGGGAGGGGCCAGTTTCAGTGGGAATCATGTTTAATCGGATCAGAGCCCGGTGGTTCTGGTTCTGTTGTGTATCTGAGGTCCTGCTCTCCTGTCCAGCAGGTGGGACGGGAAGGCGTGGCGCCCTCTCCGGGTTCTGAGGCCCGTCTGGGTTTGGACGTGGTGGAAGGCGGCCGCACGGCTCTGGACAACAAGACGTCGCTGCTGAACACGCCGTCGCCGCGCTCCTTCTCTGGGCCCAGGACCCGCGAGTTCTCCCCGTACGGATACGGCGACACCATCTACGACAAGAGCGCCCTGAAGGAGGCCGTGTTCGACGACGACGTGGAGCAGTTCCGCGACTGTGAGTCTCTGCAGGAGGGGGGCGCCACACAGAACCTCCTACCGTTCACATTCAGAACCGGTACCGCAGGGCTGGGCAGGGTGACAAACACTGAGGGAAGAAGAAGAAGAAGAGGCGGAGCTAAAGACCTTCAGGGTCTGATGTGGGTTGGAGGCCAGAACCAGAACCGGCTGGTTCTGGTTCTGGCCTCCAGGATGATGGATCATCTGTCATAAGAGAACATAGAACCTTTACCTCTATTCAAGATACTGTTGGTTTTAGGTCCATCAGAACCTTTGGTTTGGTTCCATCAGAACCTTTTTTTTAAGGTCCATCAGAACCTTTAGTTTGGTTCCATCAGAACCTTTGGTTTGGGTCCATTAGAACCTTTAATTTGGTTCCATCAGAACCTTTGGTTTGGTTCCATCAGAACCTTTAGTTTAAGGTCCATTAGAACCTTTGTTTTAGGTCCATCAGAACCTTTAGTTTTAGGTCCTTCAGGTCCTTTAGTTTGGTTCCATCAGAACCTTTAGTTTTAGGTCCATCAGAACCTTTGGTTTGGGTCCATCAGAACCTTTGGTTTTAGGTCCATCAGAACCTTTGGTTTGGTTCCATCAGAACCTTTAGTTTTAGGTCCATCAGAACCTTTGGTTTGGGTCCATTAGAACCTTTAGTTTTAGGTCCATCAGAACCTTTGGTTT